TGTTTGTAGTGTAAACTTTAAAGTACATATGTCATCGTGGGTGGAAGGATGAGACTGTTGGTAATAAAAATTGTGTGTGCATTTTGTGAATTTATGAGTTATATAACATAAATATATGAATATTATAAACATAAAAAGTATTTATTTACATAAATATTTCGTAAATATATAAATATAACATTGATATACAATAAATACATAATTTAAAGGCACCGAGATAAAAATATAACATTAATATAACATAAATTTATATATATACAATGAAACATAAATGGATAAATTAGATAATGTAAGGGTTAGCCAATAAATGTGCAGCAGCCATGTATATTATTAGTTATAAAGATCGTTGACAGGTTATATGGTCCTATATAAACGGCTATTTGTAAATATAACCCGAGCCGTTAGGCGAGGGTTATATTGCAAACAGCCGTTTATATACGGCCGTATAACCTGTCAACAATGTTTATAACGAATTTATAATACAGCAAGCATCATTTTTTAGAGAAAAAAGGAAGATTTCTTCATGAATCGACAGCAGCCGTGTATATAAAACTATATTAACGTCACGATTATCCAATGAAAAATGACGTTACAAACGTGCAGTATTATAAAATGTGATATATATGTGAGCTTTAGCAAACATGTAGTTTCATAAAATATTATTAGTAGCATTATAATAAGAAAAATAATAGTTGAAACTGGTGCAGAAAAGAAAAAAACACATAAATTTTCTTCAAGATTGGGGCAATATAAGGCCATGTGTTGTTGCGAGATATTTCACATTCATCACTCTTCAATGATTTCTCATCATTACTGGACGTACAAATGTTTTCTTTGCGTCTATTCATTGCAGCATATCCTTGCAGCTTTTGGCTCAAGTGGTCATTTACAGCTTGACCATTAAGGCCACATGCTAGCCACTCTTTATTAAAAACGTACACTTTGTCATATTTGAGGTTGGTAAATTGTCGACACCGTTTTCAAGATCTGAACAAACTTTGGCGTGCAGATTTAGTATTTTTTGATCGTCCCATATTGCACAGGAAGCTGAAATAGCGCCCTCTATGTACACATTGTAAAAAAGTTAATGCACCCAATTAATTTGGAGCGAATGAACTTTGCATCTGCTATCAAATTATAGCAAATTTAGAAAGTTTGTTTTTGTGATATAAATGTTGTCTTTTATGGTTACAATTTAGTTTAATAATATTTTATTGCATATTTTGTACATGATTAATTTACACAATCTAACATCAATATCTTAAGCATGAATATAATGTACATACAAAAGGGTTGGACCAAAAGTTATACCAACATTATCTAGGATCCTCCCCTTAAGGTCTATCTTGTTGGCTTAATGGTAACATAGTAAGTAAATGTGGTTTTTAGAAATTCTGAGATATTTATTTATATGATAAGCGATATTAATTTCATGTATTTTAACTGGTAGAAAAGAATCGCTTAACCTAAAAAACAAAGAAAATTACAAAATGACTTAATGAGGTAAAATGGAAAAAAAAAATATATGCCATTAACAATTTGCCACTATAATAAACGCACCAAACCTTGATTTGCAGCAGTATTTTAATAAACTTAATATGAAAATAAATATAGTATATGTGTAAACAAAATTAGGTAAATCTTCTACTACTTTTGATGTAATTATGCACTTCTTGAAATAGTCTTATGTTTTCGGCTTCTGCAAGTCCATCAATACCGTGTAATAATTTCTGACTACTGAGAGGATGAAATGACCTGGTATTCAAAAAAAGTATACGTCTTTGCATAGTATATAATTTACATCGGAAAAAATAGTGCTCCGCATTTTCGATGTCTGCGCCGCATTGGGCATAATGGACTTGAAACTAAATGGTTAATAAAAAGATCATTATTTAAGTTGCTACAATTGTTTCTAATTCGGGTTTGGTGGACATTTAAGGAACGATCTCCGTATAAGAAAAAAGATGGAACTACTGGAGGTTTATATAACTGTTTAATCTTGTTTTTAAATATAGCTAGCGATTGTGATTCGCGAATGTTTGTCGGAAGATTATTCCATAATTGAATAGCTGATGGAATGACTGATTTTGAGTAAATTTCGGTACGTCTGGCTAAAGTAATATAGTCACTATTATTTCTTAACGAATAATGGTTTTCTAACGCCATCTCGACAGATGGTGGAAAAAGTTGCATAAGATATTGTGGTAATAAATTATATTTTCCTTTATACATTAAAACTAGTTTTTGAATTTGTCGTCTGTCTGAAAGTGAAACCCATCCTATCTCCTTAAGTAAATATTGAATTGATACGGATCTAGTTAAACCAGTTACCACGCGAGCTGCTTCGTACTGAATTTTTTCTAACGTTTCTTTTTCAAGCTGTGTGCAATTATCCCATACTAAAGATGCATATTCTAAATGTGGACGTAAATAAGATATGTAAATGTTATTTAGAGTATTTCTTTTTACCTTGAATTTTAGCATTTTCATTGAACCAAGAATTCTTGCAGCTTTGGATACTATAATAGATATATGTTCATGCCATGACCCATCTTGACTGAATGTTACCCCTAAATGCTTATGGTGGTCTACATACTTAAGCTGTATATTATTGGAAAAAAGATTCGGTTTATTTCGATTACAAAATGAAAAGAACATGACCTCAGTTTTTGCTGGATTGAAATTAACAAGCCATTGTTTAGACCATGATGTAATTGTGATAAGGTCTTTATTAAGAATTTCTTCCATATACGAGACATCTTTAGATGAGACTGCCAACGAACTGTCGTCGGCAAAAAGTCTAGTTACACTTAGAAGGGATTCGGCAATGTCATTAACATAGATTAAAAATAAAAGAGGACCAAGGACGGATCCCTGGGGGACTCCTCCAAGTAATGTTGTAGTATTAGAGAAAGAGGAAGACACAAAAACTTTCTGAGACCTATTATAAAGATAGTTGTTTAACCATGAGATCAATTTTCCTAGAATTCCATACTGTTTTAATTTGAAGATAAGACCTTTATGCCAAACTCGATCAAACGCTTTTGAGATATCGCAAAATATAATACATGTTGATTCTTTGTTGTCAAAAGCTTTACAAATTTGATTATAAATATCAATAAGCTGGTAAACAGTTGAGTGACCTGGCAAAAATCCAGATTGATTTTGAAATAGTAATGAGTTAATATGAAAATAGTTATACATATGTTTAAATATAATACGTTCCATCACTTTTCCAACACAGCTTATCAAAGAAATCGGTCTATAGTTTGATGGTTCGTCCTTATTCCCTTTTTTAAAAAGTGGCATTACATGAGCTAGTTTCCATTTATCGGGATATATTCCTTCATTTAATGAGAGATTAAAAAGTAAACAAAGTGGAACACACAAAGATTCTGATGTTTCCTTTAACATTTTATGGCTGATTTCATCTGGGCCGGAAGCTTTATTGGTGACAAGATTCAATAAGGTATCCTTAATCTCTTGTTCATTAATTATAAAATCTTCAAGACGTGAATTAGTTTTAAAAGTAAATAGTGGAAGTTTTATATTTGTATCATCAACACATGATATTGAACTAAAAAACTCATTTAAAGTATTTGCCTTATCTATATCAGATACGGAGAAAGTATTGTTACAATTTTTAAGAGGAGGTATGATTTCATTATCATTTGTATTATCTTTTACTAGCATTTTAACTATTTTCCAGTATTCACGAGGATTAGAACTGCTCATATCGTGCAATGAAAATTCTAAATTATTATAAAATATCTCTTTAGCATTTTTTTTCATATTATTTACTTGATTTCGAGAGTGCTTATATTTTATCCAATCAGATGGATACAATGATACAAGGATATGGTTACAATCAAGGATATAATGACCAAAACAAAATGAATGAACAATTCTACGCAGTATCACAATTAAACCCAGTTAGTCTTTCAGTCTTATTTTGTGGAATTATTTTGTCATCATCAATACCATGCATCTTATTAATTAAATTAATTAAACAATTACCAAAAGGTTTAAATTCCAATCTCAAAATTTTTATGTACCAGTAAAAATGTATTCAGCTTTAAGCCTGCTGGAAGCTAGAGGTTCTAACCATGCTACCATTATCCCATCTTATCAAAGTCTGAACTGTTCGATATTCAGTCAGTTCATATTTTGAAATGATAACTTATATCATCCAGATAGAAAGATGGACAGGTTAATTTCAGATATGTAGCGTAATGTTGAAGGTTTAAATGAAGAAGTGAAGAAAAATAATGTTTTCAACATAGAACAAATAATGACAGTCTACCAAAGCCTTCTAGCTTAGTTGTGAAGTTTGCTGACACTGTATTACAGTTTCCATAGACACTATAGGTTTTAATCCAATCTCTATCAATGGAAGCTTGTATAGAAACCTAGGGATTTAACTCAATACAGGATTGGAGCAGTACCTCTAGACGCTTGCAGAAATCATGATCACAAAATAGACAAATATCGTTTTTTTTCGCTGAATTTTACATTTTTTCTTCATTATCGTACTTAATTTGGTGTGAAAAGATGAATTAGACCTGTTGAAGTTCATTCCGTTGGGTAAAAAGACAAGATTTTAGCATTTTATCATTCACGCCGCACCTTGTCCGGTATATACCGGAATACGGTATTTAGTGTGGTGCTCCAATCCTTTGTTTAGTCAAAGCCGGAACCTTAGAGTGCCATCATTTTCCAGAAATAGTGCTAAGAAAGTCATTTAGTGTGACTGACTTCAGCATATACAGCTAGAAACACCAGTGAAATGTTGAGGGTGCCACCTTACAAAATTAAAAAAGCATGAACATTCATATTCACATGTCTACTATATAAAGAGATAATTATTTTATCACCATTTTATGATATATATTTTATATATTTTGAGGGACCACATTAAATTAAGAGTATATTAATATTATTTTTATCGCTGATTTGGTATATAAATTGTTATATATTTATAAATTGTTATATATTTTCAGGGACCATTGAACATGGATTTGGTGATATATTTGTCTCAGGATGGAATCAGGCTCATTTTTGATCCAGTCTCTCAAAGATTAAAGGTTAGTTTTTTTATTAATTGATTTAATTTGTATTAACCTTAATCCAGCTAGCTGTGACTTTCTATCCATGCAACCAGTCCAGTTTATATAGTTTGCAGTGCAGTTTATATAGTTTGTCCTTCTAAATGTATTGGCTTATTAATTAATCTAAAACCGATTAACCGTAAGCCTGCAAGCAGAGACATATTCTATCCATGTAACCACTGGTGCAGACCCAGTCATTGAATTTAGCACTGGCCCGGTGTAAATTAGGTCAGGCCAGTGTAAATTTTAAGAAAATTTAGTTAAATAATTATATAGTAGAATAAATTCAAAACTGGAATTCGGGCCAGTAAATTCAAAATCTTAAATTCAATGACTGCAGACCAAGGATGTTTCTACTGATCATGGTTAATATGCACTGTTCGCTATTCAGTCAGTACATATTTTGAAATTTTCTCTAGAAATGATGAATGGTTTTGTGCAGATTGAAAAGATGGACATGTCCGTTTTAGATATTTAGTGTTCCGTGCTGGTTAAGTATTCATTTCTGCAAATCAGCATTTTTAGAAGAAAGAAGATAAACATGGTCCAATTAAATTGATGACAAATAAACCGTGTTAGAAAAAAATATCAGGAAAAATACTTAGTTTATATATCATTTCAACTTCTAGAAGATTTTCCAGCAAAAATGTTGTTTTTCAGTGTAAAATGCTGGCCTTGCTTTTAAAGAGATTGTTGTATTAATTGGTCTGTTTATTTATATTAAATTTGTAGTACTTGATTAAAGATTTCACAGAAACATGTTGCTAGTCCTATCATGTAATGACCACTGAATATTCCTGGTACAAGATTCATGTGAAGATTATAATACTGAGGATGCGCATTTAAGTTTTTAGATAGTATTTTGATTAAACATTAAACATTATACAAAATACAAAAATTTTAAAAAATAATTTTTTGTTACATTGTGGAAATCAGTAACTGTACACTAATTTTTGCTAAAAAAAAAATGTGTTCATTTATGAAGGTGTTAAAGTACTAAAATGATTAATGGATATGAGATCTATTTAGGAAGGTGCATGGGTGCAAGTTTTCAGGCATATGCCTGAAGTTCAGGTTTTTTGTGACAAATTTCATCATGTTTTCCTATTAGATTATGTAGGAAAATGATTATGAATTACAGTTTTCAGGTTTTTCCAAATTTTCTACTTGCACCCATGAAGGTGTCAAAGTATGTCAAATGATAAATGGAGATAGGAAAAGGGTCATCTTTTTCCAGTAACATGCTCCCCGCAATAATTGCAATTAGAAATCATTCTTTGCATTTTGTTTTATAACTGTTCTGAAGAATGCTTCTTTATTGGATGGAAAGTTTCAAATCTGTAGTTATGCGGTGGAGGGAAAAAAAGTTGAGTTTGCTAATTAGATCCTTTACGGCTTATTTTTACGATTTTTAAATAGAATTTTGTTCTAAATACTGACAATTTTCATTCAGAAAGGATTTAATCTGTTCATAATTATTCCATCTGCTTGAATAAATTGAAGGAAATAAGTTGACCAAGGGAATGTTTTAGCTGAAGAAATGACTTTATTATTGAATATCTCAGGTTGATGAAAGGATGGTTTTTATGTAAAAATCATGCAAAAGGCTCGAAGAGACAAATCCAATATAAATTAAACTGTTTGATCTCTGGAGTCCATCTTTCGATATATTAATGGTCAGAATCAATGAATTATGCGAAAGAAATGTTCATTTTGTATAATAAGGCGATGAGGTCGTGATATTGAACAATTATTCCATAAGTGGATTTGAGGAGCTTGATTAATTTCAAAAGTCGGTGTCAAAAGACGGGCACGCTCCAAGCGGAAAATATAACATTTATCTCTTGAAGTCATCCCTCCTGTAAAAAAGACAAGACGAGAATGATGGGTGTATTACAGAGCAGACACTCGTTCTTTAGAATTGACAAAATATCTCACTTTTCATATCAGTGTCGGGGAATGTGAGCAGCGAGCGTATTAAGGGTAAAAAAGACACGATCGGACAATGCCGTCATGAGCTGTATCGCTTTGATAAAAAAGATGTTCGAATTTTACGGTGACAGAAATTAGATAATATCAGATTACTTCATTGTGAGTTATTAAATAGGAGGGAGAGAGATTATTCTGGCTTGTGCCGACCCTTCACTGACCCACGTTACCCATTATGTCATGGGTTCACTAGGATCTTAATCTTCTGTTTGCCATTTTAAATTAATAAAAATCAGGATTTTGGTACTGATGAAAATAGTTTGGTTTTTCTGCCACATAGTTAAGCGTTATTGTGAATGGTAAAACTTGTAAATTTGAATTTGAAAAACAGCAACTCATTTTATTTCAGTTCTGTGAGCAAAAATTTTATTTTTTTTAAACCCTAATCAATGGCCCACCCCATATTTTAATAAGGAATATATTATTAACACTAGATTTTACTTTATTTGAAATATTTTTTCCAGAGCATTAATTTTCTGTATATAAAAAATCAAGGGCATAAGAAAAATAATTTTCATTTGAGTTCTTGATGTCAGGACTTTTTTCAAAGTTGTTTGTTATATAAAATATAGATATAGTCGACTTCTTAATCAACCCATCTTTGTACTATCCTATAAGCATGTTCTTTTTATTGTTGAACAAAGTGCATTTGTTGTCAGACCCATCTGAACACAAAATGGTGGAAAACAATGTTTTTGTTTAATTAACTTTTTGGGCTGTGATGGCCATAAATTACAATTTGAAATAAAATATTTGCGGACAAAATAATATCAGCAGTTGTGGCCAGTGTGCTATTGTTTGTAACCTGGGCACACATAATATGCATAATGTATTGAATTAAAATGTCTTTTAGATGGACATTAGGGCAGAGTTCCGTTATAAAAGTCTGGTCATTTGAATAAATGATATTACTGGTTAAGAAATGGTTATTTTTAATGTAAAAAAACTGGCAATGCCCAACTGCAGTTTAGTAGCGTTATATTACATTTTGAACAAAGAAACGATGGTGCAAGATTGAGCATTTTGTAACCATTAGAGGACATAAAAGTCAGGGGGAAGATAGTAGGAAACCGAAATGATTAAAGACGGTTTGGTGATAAACTGATTTTGAGGCGTTATATATGCAGCGTTTTATGTCGAATGTATATTATTATGAAGACATAAAAATCGCGTGATAAATTATTGTTGAAATGATATTGTAGGAAAAAAAAGGTGATTATGAATACATGAAGTGTGAAGAGGGTGCACAGGGAGTGTCCAAAGTGCATTTATTTATATCCTAAATTTTGAGTATGTTGTTAAATTACTTTGCTAGATTATTTGTTATAATGGATCAATGTGACAAAGAAGTAATTTCTTCATTCTTATTTCAATGTATAAGTGATATAAATATTTTTAATGAAAAATATTCAGAAAGGTTTTAGATGGCTAAATTATTTTCATTCGTTTTTATGGGTTTTTTTTTACTTTGAATAAGATTTGATAACATTTCCATTGAAATACAGTTATTACACTGTTGTATTTTGTGTTTTCCTTTTTTAATTCATAAAGATATAATTGTGTCTCAATTAATAATGTTGACAGGCTGGTCGAATTAAGGCCTACAAGAATTGTATAGGGGTCACAATGAACTTTATGCAGACGGACATATGGACCAAATAACGCCCCTTCATTTTTATAAAACAGTTTTTAAAGCTAATAAAACACACCAGTGAACAAAAGCCGGTGACAATAAAAACAGTTCAGCTTCTGCTATAACTCTTACTTTCGTAAACAACTTTGACCCCACACTGGTAAATTCACTGGAGTTCAAATTAATGACCCGGTTCGAATTTTTCTTTATGAAGTGTCGATTGTCAAAACGCATTGTGGCACACGACTTTTGGGACACTGTTTCGGTCATTTTTTTTCGAGGCAATGCAAAACCTCTTAAAACAGTAATTAACCGAGCGGAGAGAAAAGGTCCGGTAATTGATGAAGTTCTTAACATTAATGATACCACGCTAATTTCGGAAGGGGTTGAAAAATGACCATAGTTAATTACATTTAACTCATATTTTAACACTGGGCTTGAGATATTCGATTTTATAATAGCAAATCTGTTGTAAATTTCATGTCTTAATTTTGTTAATTCTCCTCTGGTTTGATTTTTTTCCCTGTAAATGAATAAAAATATAATTATTGTGTGTTAATAGAAAAAATATTTTACAAGATTCAGGTAAAAGAAAGTTCAAAGACTTCTTTTTTCAAATTAAAGATTTAGTTCTTAATAGTATGTCTTAAGTGTTACATAATTAAAACATTGCACCAAAAATTCCAATTTATTTTTCTAGTCATTTTTGGAAATTATTTAACACAATCTTTGCTCAGAAGTAATCTTAATTTTAAAAAGATACTGAGCCAAATACAAAATCATTCAATATAATATTTGAGACAAATATTTATGCCATGGTTTAATTCATGTTAAATACATTAATTTATCCACCAAATTAAGTCTGCATATTAAATAGACCATAAAAAGAAATTTGTTTACATAAATTTGCTTATGTTGATTTAAAATACATCATAAAACTGTCTTGTTCACTAATGTTTATTTAATTTAATAAACATTTACATATAATTGAAGAAATAGAAGTTCCACTATCTTTTTTCTCAATGAACATGAGAAAATTTTTTGTTTGTTAATGTAAGTTTAATGTCACACCAACACTGAATATAAGGTCACATAGGGACTTTCAAGCTTAACAAGTGAAGGAAGACCTACCTGTATGGTGCCTCTCTGTGCATTATTCCAGTAGAGAGCAAAAGGAACAATGCTTGTTGTTGTCCCAGTTATATTCACTACAATACTTGATGAAAAACAAAAAAATCTTTTGTGTCCTGATTTCCACTGGGAAACAAAAGGATTTCAGCTAGATTCCAGTTGTTTTCCTGATTGTCACTGGGATACAAGAGGATTCCAGTTCTTTTCTTGGTTCCCACTGGTATGAAAGCGGAATAGAGGAATACCCAAGATTCCAGTTGGTTTTCTGGTTCCCACTGGGATACAAGAGGATAACTGCTACATTCAGGTTGTTTTCCTGATTGTCACTGGGATACAAGACGATAACAGTTACTGCTATATTCCAGTTCTTTTCTTGGTTCCCACTGGTATGAAAGAGGAATAGAGGAATATACCCAAGATTCCAGTTGGTTTTCTGGTTCCCACTGGGATACAAGAGGATAACTGCTATATTCCAGTCCACTGGTATGAAAGAGGAATAGAGGAATACCCAAGATTCCAGTTGGTTTTCTGGTTCCCACTGGGATACAAGAGGATAACTGCTATATAATATATTCCAGTTCTTTTCTTGGTTCCCACTGGTATGAAAGCGGAATAGAGGAATACCCAAGATTCCAGTTGGTTTTCTGGTTCCCAATGGGATACAAGAGGATAACTGCTACATTGCTGTTGGTTTCCTGATTTCCCTAATTTGTATTTTAAGAGTTGTTTAAGTTTTAAGCTGTTTTCGGAATACAGTCATATATCTTGTTCTATTATGGTACAATTGTTATTGACATTTTAGTCCAACCAACAATATATAAAATTATATCTTATAGACAATGAAATATGTAGTTTTCTTATTTCATTTTCCTGCAAGTCATCTTAATTACTATATCCAATGGGTACCGCAAGGGAACGTGCCTCATGTTGAAAAAAAATGTCTTTCAGCAGTATTTGTGTTTTTTTTTCTTAAGTAATGTCAGTTTTGCCTCATATTATGCATGCAGGAAAACACATAATTCCCATAACCTTTATAGATTGCATGTAAATTATCAAAACAAAAATGTTAATATTTAGTAAGAAATGTTAAATAAGTTTGTTACTTATAAGGAATTTTTAATTGGCATTATTTATGATTCGTTTTTATATCAAGAAATTAAAATCTTTTTCACCGCTAATTGCAATTTAGTATCTTTTACTCCCACAATTAGAAGTGTAAACTCGTAAAATTCTGTTTTTAAGAGTACACCAAAGTTATATAACATTGATACTTAGTTAGAATGGTAACTCTTTAAATGGTAACTCTATTTAATATTATTTGAGTATATTTATCTATTTACTCAAGCCCTTTTGTGCTCATTTAAAAGTTTAATAGCATTTGTAAAGCACTGACATTCTGCATCATGACATTTAAGTTTGTGGATTCAAATAGACAAAGGGAGGTAACTGTTTTGAACTATCGTCGTGCTGTGTACTGTAATGACTTTTTGTCAGGTTTTGGATAGAAGAAAAGATGCTTGCTGTATAATAAATTTGTTATGATTATTTCTGACAGGTAATATGGTTGTATATAAACAGTAGTTTGCAATATAACCTTCACCCAGGGGCTTGGGTTATATTTCCAAACAACCGTTTGTATTTTGTAACTAATAAGCTATATGTGAAATATAGTTTTCATATGATGTAGACTAAGCTGTGTAAAAATTTATTTTAATTTGCCCACATAGTCTATATATAATCTTTATACATAATTATCTTTTCAGGTTATAGAAGTAAACTGTATGAGTAAAGTGAAGTTAAAATACTGGTAAGTCAATAGATTTCTACTAATGTTGTTGCCTTTCATTGCTCAATTGAAAACAGTATCGGCTAAATTTCATTTCTTTGTATACTTATTATTAATTTTCATGTATTGAATTTTTTGTATATTTTGTGAGGCAAAAATAGAGGATGAATTTCATAATGGTATCAGATTGTTTGTATATTTTGTATGGCAGAGATACAGGTACAGGATGACTTTCAACATTTAATAAGTACCTAGAATCAGGTGAACAATTTAGGGCCATCATGACCCTCTTGTTTACTTTTTGCATTATTGTTTTTGTATATTTTGTGTTTCAGAAGTAGAAGGTGAATTTTATTATTCTTTTTTATTTTCAGTGGGGTTCATTTTAATACTAGTCAGATTCATCCCACCATTGAACAGATAGACCAGTCCTTTGGAGCAACCCACCCAGGAGGTTTGAACATTTTAATGCACCCTTTTTGCACTAGCTGCATTAATGCATATCTCTCCAGCCTTGCTTGGTTATACACAACTCTAAGCAGTGATTGTTTTAGTTTGTAAAATTGGGATTGAACCCATGTAAAATTGGGATTGAACCCATGTAAAATTGGATTGAACCCAGACTTTTTCCCAATTAAAAAGTATTGAAGCTAAAAAATTCCTAAAAATTGTGAAAGCTTTTCAAGATTGCCTTGTTTCTCAATCAAAACATTATGCACATAATTATGTACACTTCAGAATGTAACTATCAACTAATAATGAAATATGAATGGTTTTGCATAAGTTTTTTTTTTTCCAATTTTCAATTACTGTTTTAATGAACAAACATACATATATTCTGAGTTGTAAGGCATAAACTTTTGGGAGCGAAGTTGGCAAAAGTCACATGAATCCTGTCAAGCACTTTATGAGTAAGCTATCCAGCTTGGTGAGGGAATGTTGGTGGTTCTACTCAGATGCTGGTTGGTGCCTAAAGTAATGCATGAAGTGGCTGCCGAGGTCTTCTTGAAACCAGTGACGCTGAAAAATTGCCGTATGACCTTTACTATGACAGTGTGACTTAAAATCAAACAACACAAACAAAATTTGATAAAAAATTGAAATAAAGTGACAATTTTCTTGTTCAAATATTTAGGCTAGTTTAACAATGTTGTGTTTTGTATTATTTGCAGTTTATAATTCAGAGAAGCAGCTTTTTGTGTTGAATTTTAGAGGACTCTCCTTTGATTTTCCAATTGAATCAAAGTTTGAGGTAAGATTTTTTTTATGCTGATGATAATTTGAATGCTAATTTTTGCCTATTTGAAGATTAATTACGCGGTCCTATTCATTCTAGTGTAATCAAATATATAAAATAATGGTAGAATTTGCAAGAAATCCTTGCTGATGTGCATACCTGAAAGAGGAATATTCTGATCTGAATTGTAACATATGATGGATATTATCACTCTGGCATTTGTGTAAAAGACGGTTACAGTTTTTGCGTTAAACCTCATACCTTATTAATTCCTGAATATATTGACATACATTTTCTTGGCCAGAATATGTATCACTGACAGAGAACCATGCACTAGAAAGGATTTTTACTAAATTATTATAAGTTTTGAAAGTTCATGGTTATGGTTATGCACCACAACCTCTGAAATTTTTTTGTTTGAATATTTCACAAATGTCTGCAAGGTAATAAATATAGGTGAGTGACTAAGGCTAATAAATGTAGTATGGATTTTCAGGGAATTAATCGCACTTAGTGAACCGTCTGCATTGCTGTTTTCGATTAACTATCATGTATTGAGAATAGTAATGTGTGTTGTCCATGTGACAGCTATGGTGTTGAAAGTAACAGAGCTTTGCTACTAGCGTAGCTCATGGCCATATCATAGCTCAGCTTTGTAGTTTTAGGGACCCTTGTGGCTGAGTGTTTTAGGTTGCAAATTTCAAATCACTTGACCCTCGCCACTGTGGTTTCCAATCCCATGAGGGACTCTGGGTTGTTTTCATTTAAGGAAACTATCCAGCTAGCTTAAGAAAGGTTTATTTGTTTTACTCAGGTGCCTGCTCATGCATGAAAATAAAATGCACCAACTTGTCCAAGGGGCATCAGAAGTCTTCCAGTAAAGCTGAATAGTCGCCATATGACCTTTACAGTGTCGCTTGACTTAGAATGAAACATAAAACAAATTAAACAGTATTGTGAAATAATTTATATTTCAGCCTCGATACGCTCATGGCCTAGGATCTTTACAGTTTCCAAATGGAGCATCACCTGTTGTGTCCCGAATGTGTATATATTCCGGTAACAGTCTACTGGAAACTAGGTATACTTAATTCTATTACAATACACTTAATAAGATGGAACTTAGGGCATCTTACTCTCAACAGTAAAGCTTAAAAAGCCTCTATTTTGACCTTTCTATTATTGGTTTGACCTTAAAACCCTGCAAAAAGTAGTCTTAGTGTATTTATTGCTATTCTTATCTCAAAGTTGGATTGCGAGTGTTGAAAAATGTATTACATGTTAATAATGTATGTGTCCATTGTGATAAGGGAATGTCGGTGGTTCTTCTAAATTTGAGGTGCCTGTGATCTTCTGCAGTCACTACACCTGAAGAGTTTAGATTTCATCCTTTGTCATATCAGACTGAACATTGTTCCGATAGCTTTTTGATTTTGATATAATTTTGATATTGAAAACTCCTTATTTAATAATGGTTTGTTCTGAATTCAATGAAAGGTTTGTCCTTAACAGAAATTTAGCAGAATTCGATTGTAAAGAATTTTTCATAAATTACAAATTGCACCTCTTTAACATGTGATTTTGCCATGTTGGAATATGTAGAAAATGTATTGTTATTTCAGAGCCCCACCATTACCTATTACATGTTACCATGGCAACTGTTATGTAGATTGTTTAGAAGTGATCAGGGACAGTAAACTGACCAGAGCACTCAAGTTTATACTTTTCACAGAAGGTAATTCTTTTTTTAAATGTTCAAATTTGATCCTGGCCTGCACGGGTATAAACAGGGCCTATCTAGAATAACTGCCGGTTTGCAAGGTGAGTTTAGGGACCCATTCCCATGAGAAATTTTCATTCTAGTTTGAAAAATTCTGCCTTCCTAGTGGAGATTTAGAGTAATTTGTCAGCTCTTCATTTTTGCACTAGCAATTTCTAACACTGAAGTCTCCATCCTAAGGGCAGTAAAGGGGAGATTAGTCCAGATTTTACCTCTCATTTGTCCTGGTTATGCAGGGTCAAAGTTGTTGGTTGGTTTGTAGGACAAAATAGTTGGGGATATGTTAAGTTTGTACTACAGAGGCATTCATTTGAGGATTTATCCATGTGACTTTATAATACATAAAAGTTATATTATAAGAATCTTACACCAGCTGCCGGTACAGACTAGAATATCTAGCTCGAGGGTAACTGTTCAGGCAGTAATGAGACAGTTACCCTCGAGCTAGATATTCCGGTCTGTACCGGCAGCCGGTGAAAGATTCTTATATTCTTGCATGTCAGACAGGATTATCTACTTTTTACACCGGTGCTAGAAATTCTGTCTTACACCCCCCATGTAAGAGAATTTATCCATGTGACTTTATAATATAACTTTTATGTATTATAAAGTCACATGGATAAATCCTCAAATGAATACCTCTGTATTACAAACTTAACATATCCCCAACTATTTTGTCCCACAAACCAACCAACATGTAACAACGTCATTTAAATCATGCGACTTGTCTTACATGGGGGGTGTAAGACAGAATTTCTAGCACCGGTGTAAAAGGTTGATAATCCTGTCTGATATGCAAGAAAATCATTGTATGTCATTAAGTGGCATGTCAGATTGTATATGTAATTTCATACTGTTAGTCATTGATTTTTGCAGCACAACTTTCTACATATTGATAAAAAAAACTAAACAATTGTCATTTCATTTATACTTATATTGAATTAATTCTAGAAATGTTAATAGAACACTCCACAACATCATTTAAGACAAGAAAATATGAACTGACAACAAGTGTATGATCTTTTCGTTGTTAAGATTTTTAGAAGGTTACATTAACAGTTAATAGGTTATATAGCAATATTATGATACTGCATGTTTGTATTACCTAATTTCACTGGATAATTGTGATGTTTATATATAATTCATATTCATTGCTGCAGTAAATATTATAGGTTTTTGTCTTTTTAGCTCACCTGAGCCAGATCAGGGTGAGCTTTTAGGATCGTTTAATGTCTGTCGTTCATCAAAAATCTATGTCACACAGCCCCACTATGGAAAAACCTTGTTAATGCTCTAGAGATTACTGTTTTGATCCAAACATCCTGCAAATTGGTCAGAAAGGTTGTTTTGGTGATCTCTAGGTCAAGTTTGAATATGGGTAGTCTGTGGTCAAAAACTAGGTCGCATAATCTTGTGAGCGATATATGGGCCATTGTGGCCTTTTTGTTTCCTTAAGGAAAAAAATTGTACTATTTTTAGCTCGACTATTCGCAGAATAATCGAGCTAATGCAGTCACCCATTTGTCGGCGTCCCTGTGGTTAAGTTTTTGCGTGTAAGCAAGTATCTCCATAACTACTGAAGGGAATGGATTGAAACTTCACACACTTGTTCTCTGTGATTATGTTACATGATTGGCACAAGTCGCATAAATCTGATTTCCTTTTTAGCTCGACTATTCGATAAGAATAAGTAGAGCTATTGCAGTCACCTGAGCGTCGGCGTCGGCGTAACCACTTATGTTAAAGTTTTTGTAATAGTTCAAATATTTTCAAAGTCCATTGACATATGGCTTTGAAACTTTGCACACTTGTTCACCATCTTGACCCCAACCTGTAGACAGGAGGAGGTAACTCTATCAAGCATTTTGACAGAATTATGCCCCTTTTTCGACTTAGAATTTATGTTAAAGTTTTTGTAATAGTTCAAATATTTTCAAAGTCCATTGACATATGGCTTTGAAACTTTGCACACTTGTTCAACATCATGACCCAAATCTGTAAACAGTAGGAGGTAACTCTATCAAGCATTTTGACAGAATTAAGCCCCTTTTTCGACTTAGAATTTATGTTAAAGTTTTTGTAATAGTTCAAATATTTTCAAAGTCCATTGACATATGGCTTTGAAACTTTGCACACTTGTTCAACATCATGACCCCAATCTGTAAACAGTAGGAGGTAACTCTATCAAGCATTTTGACAGAATTAAGCCCCTTTTTCGACTTAGAATTTACGTTAAAGTTTTTGTAATAGTTCAAATATTTTCAAAGTCCATTGACATATGGCTTTGAAACTTTGCACACTTGTTCACCATCATGACCCCAACCTGTAAACAGGAGGAGGTAACTGTATCAAGCATTTTTTTTACTATCAAGCACTAAGAATAGTCGAGCGTTGCTGTCCTACCGACAGCTCTTGTTTGGCATAATTATGCCCCTTTTCGACTTAGAAATTCTTGGTTAAGTTTTTGCGTGCAAGCTGGTATCTCCATAACTACTGAAGGGAATGGATTGAAACTTCACACACTTGTTTTCTGTGATTATTTAACATGATAGGCACAATTCCTATAACTCTGATTTGCTTTTTTGCATAATTATGGCCCTTTTTCGACTTAGAAATTCTTGGTTAAGTTTTTGTGTGCAAGCTGGTTTCACATGATAACTACTGAAGGGAATGGATTGAAACTTCACACACTTGTTCTCTGTGATTATCTAACATGATTGGCACAAGTCCCATAACTAATTATGCCCCTTTTTCAACTTAGAAATTCTTGGTAAAGTTTTTGCTTGTAAGCGGGTATCTCCATAACTACTGAAGTGTTTGTGCTTTTTTTTTGGAACAATTTTATGCATTCATAATAATAAAGCAGTGATTCACTCGATAAAACATTTTAATAACAAGCCTTTGTACTTTTTGGGACAATTTAAGTATTGATATAGGTAAGCATTATTATACTCAATGAAACACACTTGTGACAATTTTTCGAATAGTCGAGCGTTACTGTCCTCCAACAATTCTTGTTTTAATTTGTTGTAAAGATTTTTGAAATTTAAGATTTTGCATACATAACCCAAACTGCAAGGCAAGGTTTATATTGCAAACAACCATCTATATATGGTCACATATCTTTTTAATGAATTTATTATGCATCAAACTTCTTTTTACTTTTGAAAAAAAATGAAATTACTTAATAAGTTGACAACAGCCATGTATATAGTTATATATAAACATCAATTATCCAATGAAAAGCGATGTTACAAACATTCAGAATAATAACAAACAATATTACAATGATAAGTTTTTTATTACAGGTTGTGGAACAGCTTTTTCTTATGTACGCAAATGTTAAAATGTTCTTTCACACAGATTTTAAATATGTACGTATTTCGTAAATTTTTTATTTATTTTTCAGGTAACGAGCCAGGAAAATTGTTAGATCCAAGAAAGAAAATTGTGGAGAGGATTGTCAATTTTGGTGATAGTCCAAATGTGAGTATTTAAATTTTTATGCTTGTCATCGAGTTTATGGTAAGCAGTGAATTGGTTGTATCTACTACTTTATTTCTTTCGTCATATTATTTTTACCATTAATGTAAGTTCCTAGTTATTCACCACATCTCCATATTTAGTATGTACGTTCCTAGCATAGACCAATTACCTGAGTACAGTAGAGCCCCGCCTTATGACTACCCTTTTTCATGAATAATCTATTATAACAACTAATTTTTCAAAGAATGGAATTTTTTTTTTAAAATGCTCTTTCTATCATAAATTCAGACTACCATGTTGTATATTTATTATACAACCACTTTCTCCTGACCAATAAACAGACTTGCATGTATTCTAAATGTAATACCATTAGCTGGATACTGCAAAATCATTTTTATTTGGGGGCATGAATTTTCCTAGTTATTGTGGAATGGTCAATCCAGGAATTTGGTTTATACAAATTTATTAGCTCACCTGTCACAAAGTGACAGGGTGAGCTTTTGTGATCGCTTTTCGTCCGGCGTCCGTCCGTCCGTCCGTCCGTCGTCCGTCCGTCGTCCGTCCGTAAACTTTTGCTTTAAATGACATCTCCTCATAAACCACTGAGCCAATTTCATCCAAACTTCACAGGAATGTTCCTTTGGTGGTCACCTTTAAAAATTGTTCAAAGAATTTAATTCCATGCAGAACTCTGGTTGCCATGGCAACCGAAAGAAAAATCTTTAAATATCTTCTTTTAAACAACCCTAAGAGCTAGAGCTTAGATATTTGGCATGAAACATCTTCTAATGAGTGTCTACCAAGTTTGTTCAAATAAAAGCCCTGGGGTCAAAATTGGCCCCGCCCCGGGGGGTCATTGATTTTCCCTATATGCATATAGTAAAAACTTAAAAGATCTTCTTTTAAAGAACTGTAAGAGCTAGAGCTAAGATTTTTGGCATGGAACATCTTCTAGTGAGTGTCTACCAAGTTTGTTCAAATAAAAGCCCTGGGGTCAAAAATTGGCCCCCCCCCGGGGGTCATTGATTTTCCCTATATGCATATAGTAAACACTTAAAAAAATCTTCCTTTAAAGAACTGTAAGAGCTAGAGCTTAGATATTTGGCATGAAACATCTTCTAGTGAATGTCTACCAAGTTTGTTCAAATAAAAAGCCCTGGGGTCAAAATTGGCCCCGCCCCAGGGGTCATTGATTTTCCCTATATGCATAAAGTAAAAACTTAAAAAATCTTCTTTTAAAGAACCCAAAGAGCTAGAGCTTAGATATTTGGCATGAAACATCTTCTAGTGAATGTCTACCAAGTTTGTTCAAATAAAAGCCCTGGGGTCAAAATTGGCCCCGCCCTGGGGGGTAATTGATTTTCCCTATATGCATATAGTTTAAACTTAAAAAATCTTCTTTTAAAGAACCGTAAGAGCTAGAGCTTAGATATTTGGCATAAAACATCTTCTAGTAAATGTCTACCAAGTTTGTTCAAATAAAAGCCCTGGGGTCAAAATTGGCCCCGCCCCAGGGGGTCATTGATTTTCCCTATATGCATATAGTAAAAACTTATAAAATCTTCTTTTAAAGAACCCAAAGAGCTAGAGCTTATATATTTGGCATGAAACATCTTCTAGTGAATGTCTACCAAGTATGTTCAAATAAAAGCCCTGGGGTCAAAACTGGCCCCGCCCCGGGGGTCATTGATTTTCCTTATATTACATAGCAAAAAACTTAAAAATCTTCTTTGAAAAAACCAAATAACTAGAGTTTAGATATTAAGCATGCAACACTTTAAGTAAATATCTACAAAGTTTGTTCAAATAAAAGCCCAGGGGTCAAAACTGGCCCTGCCGAGGGGTGTCATTGTTTTTTACTCTATGTGTATAGTAAAAAACTTAAAAAATCTTCTTTTAAAAAAAAACCCAATGAGCTAGAACTTAGATGTTTTGCATGAAACATCTTCTTATTGGTGTCTACCAAGTCTGTTCAAATAAACAAATAAAAGCCCTTGGGTAAAAATTGGGCCGGGGGGGGGGGGGGGGCTATATACAGGTGAGCGACCTCAGGGCCATCATGGCCCTCTTGTTTCAGTTTGATTGTGTTGGAAGCTGTTAGCTTATTGAAACACTCTCAAACCAATCAGTACTAAGGCAATGAATGTCAAGTTTCTTGCTCAAGGAAACAACGGCTTGCCCCTGACAGGGTTTGAACCCATGCGGTCAGCAATCCTTAGATTACTAGTCCGACGCGTTAACCACTTGGCCACGCCGCCACATTCACAATGAAGGAATTTAAGATACAAAGAAATTTAATTTTGTCTGCTGCATTACATCACTTGCATTTACTATTTTTTACATAAATAAACAATCCATGAAATTAAGAAACCCCACGAAGAAGTCCTTTGTGATAAAATTGTGAAATTTCATGCCCACGAAATTTATTGAATTCACAGTAGTTACAAATTCACATATGAACACACTTGTCAGCTTGCTGTAAAGGGTTTTGTATGTGTTTCATGACATCAAGAAAAGATCCTGCAAAACTTGTTTTGGCCTCCATTCATGAATCTTTTTATTTCCCTTTTCTTTATTTTCCAAAATAGACTCAAATCGGTCTTGGTTTCTTTAACATCAAGTTGAAAAAAATATGTTTTTAAATTTTAATTTTGGGGCTGTATAGTGGAACCCATTGTATCGTTTTTTCTTGTTAATCTTTTTAAACAAATCTTAAAAAATTTTTTGCAAATACGTCACCTTTTTGTTACATTAAAACAGTGCAGGAAAATCTTTCCTTTACTTTTGGCTTTTAAAATTATCAAAAACATGTTTCCGTACCGTAAGTTTTTGTTAAAAAAAAGCTTTTGTTTCTTATTAAAAGTACTTATGTCGTTAAAAAAGTTCCAAAATTTTTGACTTTTTAAAAACAACCGTTTTTCTAAAATATCAAACAAAAAGGGTGGGGGCTTCCAAAATTTGGCAAACTAAAGCGTCTTCTAAATTTTGGCATCCCCTTTTTTCCCTTTTGACATGTCTGACATATCTGTATATTCAAAGCTTTACGATGATTTATGCCATGTAAAATTTTGGCAAAAAGGATCAAAATAAATGATACAAAATAAATATTCAGGGAGATTTGAATTTTTTAAATGCAGTTGTGATTTATAGGTAAATAGATCGATACAACGGGGTTCCAGGCTACTTTATAAGAGCTTATGAGGTAAATCTGTACCAGTCTTTATAGTGCAATATGTCCTTATACAAATTCAGTTTGACTATTTAAAAAGGATTTGAAATAACACATCCTGATAAAACTGATATAAAACTTATTTTCATGTTTAGAATACCCCTCACCATCCCCACCCCATAAGTAAGCACCCCCTTTTCCCGAGGATTTTGATTGCATAAATTCTTCTACATTATGTAAATATGCTCTACAGTTCAAGCATTGTAAATGATTTTTGTATGCCTGAAAAAAAAAAAACTTTTACTTTTACGTTTCTATTGTGAAAATTTTACTTACCTGGGGAATGTTAAAAAGGAATTATTATAAGGTTTCATGTGTGAACTATTTCAGGATGTGATAAGTGCCTTAGGGTGTCCGGAGAAAGTCTTTTACAAATCTGATGACAAGATGAAGATTCATACCCCTGATGCTCACAGACGAGTCCGTGGAAAATCATCCGACTATTTCTATAACTATTTCACTATGGGAGTGGTAAGAACTGACCTATTCTTTATTCAAAGCTCACAAGGACCCATGTTGACAATAGAATGGAATTAAAGTTCAAATTTTTAAAATTCAATAATAGATTATGCCTATAGGGTTTAATACTAACATTTCCAATGCTCAGATGAATTTGGCAATATTGCTGATCATTTGAAAGTTTGCACAGAAATTAGAAATGAGGTAATAATCAATGTATCTTAAAAGAGTTAGGCATTTTAATGTTATTTACTTACAAAAATCCTTGAACTGTTGTCTTATTAACCCTGACCCTGTTTGCGGGTCTACCTATGTCACCACTGGAGACCAAAATCTGTGCTGTCACATCATGGTCTGCAATGTTTGCTATTTAGTCATTACTTATCATGAAATTTCCGTAATAAAGATGGATGTTTTATTCAGATTGAAAGATGGTCAAGTCCATTTAAGATAATTTTTAAAGGATACGTTAATGCAACTACTTTTATCCATGTGACCAGTGCAGGTTATGATCATCTGTACATGCATGTTGCCTGATTATGGCCTGTACTTGTCAGTATTCTTCAGTTAATACATAAATTTTGAAAATTTCCCTAAAAATAATGAATAGTTTTGTCCAAATTAAGAGGTGGACAAGTCCGTTTTAGAGAATAAGCATGATAAGGGTTAATTTATTGCTTTATTTTTTTTCAGGACATTTTATTTGATGCAAGCACTCATCAAGTGAAGAAATTTGTTCTTCACACAAATTATCCAGGTCATTATAATTTTAACATGTAAGTAACTTTTAATTTTTTTTTACCTGTGTAGTAATTGATTTACATGTTTTTATCTGTAATATTGTACGGAAAGTAGGGCTATTCTATAAAGCCAGATGTCAGCAGGAACTCTTACTCGAATGAAAAAAAAAATGTTCTAACATTGAAGGATACATGCATAAAGTTATTGTTAACAGCATATTATTTTGTTCCAGAATATTTATATTCTATTTATGTACGATATTCATTTGTGATAAGAGACAGGCACATTTTGTGTAACATCTTCATAAGAATACAACATAATTTTTAGCTTGACAATTAGATAAGAATAAGTAGAGCTATTGTAGTCACCCGGGCGTCGGTGTAACCACTTATGTTAAAGTTTTTGTAATACCTCAAATATGTTCGACGTCCATTGACATAAGGCTTTGAAACTTTGCATACTTGTTCACCATCATGACCCCAACCTGTAAACAGGAGGAGGTAACTGTATCAAGCATTTTGACAGAATTATGCCCCTTTTTCGACTTAGAATTTATGTTAAAGTTTTTATAACACCTCAAATATTTTCAAAGTCCATTGACATATGGCTTTGAAACTTTGCACACTTGTTCAGCATCATAACACCAACCTGTAGACAGACAGAGGTAACTGTATCAAGCATTTTTATAGAATTATGCCCCTTTTTTGACTTAGAATTTACGTTAAAGTTTTTGTAATACCTCAAATATTTTCAAAGTCCATTTACATTTGGCTTTGCAACTTTGCACACTTGTTCAGCATCATGACCTCAAACTGTAAACAGGAGGAGGTAACTGTATCAAGCATTTTGATAGAATTATGCCCCTTTTTTGACTTAGAATTTACGTTAAAGTTTTTGTAATACCTCAAATATTTTCAAAGTCCATTTACATTTGGCTTTGCAACTTTGCACACTTGTTCAACATCATGACCCCAAACTGTAAACAGGAGGAGATAACTGTATCAAGCATTTCGACAGAATTATGCTCCTTTTTCGACTTAGAATTTACCTTAAATTTTTTTAATACCTCAAATATTTTCAAAGTCCATAGACATATGGCTTTAAAACAAGTTGAAATTTTATACTATTCTTTGAGAGCATAATAGGACTCTCTCCAAGGCCTATAACTGTGATATGGATTTAAAGAAAAAATTTGCCCTTTTGTTTACTTTGAAAATTTTACATTATTAAGGCTTTTTTACTATCAAGCACTAAGAATAGTCGAGCGTTGCTGTCCTACCGACTGCTCTTGTATTATACATAAATAGTATAAAAATATTTCATAAGATGCAGCTTTATACCCTTTAAGAATGTCCTTATTTTTTTCTGAAATCCTATAGTTGTGTAACAACTTATACAATACTGTATAACAATACTGTATATAGTTTACATCGTTCTTATGTTTTGAAATTGTATATATTTAAATACTATTACATTGGGTTCAATGACAGTTCTTTACGAAGAGAAAGTGTGTTAATGATGCTAAAAATGATCGTCCATTAAAGTTTCTTGAATCTGAAAGTCTCCTGCACATCATTAAAAGAACCAAATGATGTCAAACTGTTCATGTTTATTGTTTAGTGAACGAGATCTTTAGAAATATATGTATATATTCACGTTATATATGTTGACAATGAAGGTCAAGGTTGACCTGGCAATAAATAAAGGAGATTTTGTCCTATGGATTATTGTTTTTGTATTGTGATGTAGAATGCATGAAATTTTACGGTCTTATTTTGAAGTTGGGGGGGGGGGTGAATGGTGATTATTAACTTAGCCTTTAAGTGGCTTCTGTATTT